TGTTCTTTCTTTCTCTGTTCCCTGTCTCTGCTTCCTTTCTTCTGGACTGAGAGCCCCACAGTCTTCTGTAGGCTCAGGAGCAAGCAACTCTCCATGGTGCTGACGAGGCCTGTAGGTCCAAGGCTTCCATCCCTCATTAGGAAACAGGAATGGATGTCAGTGACTTTCCTAGAGCAGCCAATCAGCAGGGACTCTCCATCTCCTGGTTCAGGTAGAGCAACTTCCCTTAATGGGACCAGTTTTCCTAGAGCATGTAGGACCTTTCTGGTCGTGAAGCCCCTGCCTTTCTGCCCCATTCCCACAAAAACACTCAATCCTGCTTTGTATATGCCAGTATGGCCTCCACAGGTGCTGGAGAAGCAGGCTTTTCCTGGTCTCTGGACTGCAGCAAGGCAGATTGGAAGGGGATTTATTTCTCCTGCTCCAATGGCTTATAGCAGCTCCCCAGTGAGGGAGCTGGGGGCTGGCCCTTCTGGAGACACAGGCACTTTCTCCATGGAAACCCTTGTCAAGGAGAATGGTAGCAAAATGTGATGCCACTTTATCCTTCAAAGAAGCTTTCTTTAATATCACCCAAAGTGAATTAAATGATGAGGGCCTTGAGATTTCATCTCTCCTGATCCCTTTCAGCAGGTGATGGATGGCAGCAGGGAGGGCTCAGGGCTTGGGGAAAAGAGGAAGGTGGTCTGAGAACGTAAAATGTGATCACAGAACTTAAAGCAGCCAGGCATAAGTTTCAGTCCTGGCCCCATCACTAACTCTGTGTCATCTTAGGCAAAGGATTGATCAGTTTCCTCATCTGAAGCCGAGGGCAAACATATCTGCTCCAGCTTCCTTGTAGAGTTGTTGTGAGGGTCAAACAGAAAATGGGATGAGAGAATTTGGAAACTAGGTGTAGTGCATGTTCCAATGGCTTACACATTTTGAGTGCTTTCTAAGGCCAGGCTCTGTGCTAGGCATTCTGTGTGTATCATCTCATGGAATCCTTAATATCCTCATAAGGTAGACACTATTATTGTCTCACTTAAGGGATAGGAAAACTGAGACCTCAGAGGAGTGATGTGTCTTTAGCTAGTGTGTGTGTGTGTGTGTGTCTTTAGCTTGTGTGTGTGTGTGTCTTTAGCTAGTGTGTGTGTGTGTGTGTGTGTGTGAGAGAGAGAGAGAGAGAGAGGGGGGAGAGAGAGAGAGAGAGAGAGAGAGCGAGCATGCTTGGAAATTAACTCTGGTCTGTTTGGCTCTGAAATTTTTCTCTCTTCCTTTGTGCCCTATGCCCATCTCTGTCTTGCAGGACAGGCTATGACTGGCGTCCCTGCAACCCAGTGGTCCTGATGGACTCACTGAGACACAGGCAGATAGCAGGTCTTGAGCTGTCAGATACATCCTGCGTTGTCCAAGAGGTTCACCTTGAACATACCAGCTGACACTTGGAGAAACAGGATTTTTGAGATTTTTATCTTAGAGAAGAGACCATCTGCTCTCTGCTCTTTAAGATCAATGACCTCCAGAATCTGTGACTTTCGGGCAGCAGAGATTCAGGAGACCAGGTGTCTGCTGCTTTATTTATCCGGTGAGAGCAGAACTGTGTTTCTCAGGGTCCAGGAGGCCCCTCTAATTGGCAACAAGAGCCCAGCCTGAGGAATCTGCAAACAGCTGGAGCTCTCTCTCTCTCTGCCTTCTTGTATCTGCATCCTCAACTTTTAGCTCCAAGCCACATTCATGACCTGATGGCCCTTGTTTCTGTTTTGACGAAACCAAATCTGCTTTTAAAGTCCTGGGTTCAGAGCTCTAAGCACAGCCTCTCTGGGATACACCGATAAGTTGGATTTAGGGGAGAGGAATCAGGGAACAATTCTGAAGTGAGCTGAGTTTCTGCAACTAGACTATCCAGCTCCATTAAAAGGGAATTTGGTCACCTTTTATATTTTTGAATAAAAGTAGCCTAAGCCCCTTACTTTGCCATATTAAAAAAAAAAATCTCAGGAAATCTCCTGGGGCTTTTAGATGATTTTTTAAAAAATAAAAACCCCATTAATGTGCATTCAGTCCTAAACGGTCAGTCTGGTTTCCACATGCTTGTGCTAGTAAAACTGGGAAAAATGGCTGGTCCACCAGCAGACAGGCTGGGCTCAGCTGCCTTCAGTGCTGCTGCCGCCACATGGGATGGTTGTTGAAAACTGATCTAGCACAGCGTGGTGCTCTTCCATCCCTGGCTGTGAGGATGTGCTTGGTGGTTCACATCCTTGCACTGATGATGTTGCTATTTTTTAATCGATTAATTATTTATTTTTTGAGATGGAGTCTCTCTCTGTTGTCCAGGCTGGAATGCAGTGGCATTATCTCAGCTCACTGCAACATCTGCTTTCCAGGTTCAAGAGATTCTCCTGCCTCAGCCTTGCAAATAGCTGGGATCACAGGTGACTGCCACTGTGCCCAGCTAATTTTTGTATTTTTAGTAGAGATAGGGTTTTACTGTGTTGGCCAGCCTGGTCTCAACTACTGATCCCAGGTGATCCACATCCCAAAGTGCTGGGATTACAGGCGTGAGCCACTGCGCCCAGCCCAAGCTGCTATCAGAGGTCAGGGATCCTCTTTCCTCAGTGTTACCCTTGGCACAGGGTGCTGCGCACTGGGATTCCCAAACAAATAGCTCCCTGGTTCACAGGCACATTCCCAGCCAACCCCTGTCATGTGATGGAGCAGCCACGGGGGTTCTGCCAGCCTCAGCACACAGGGCCTCAAGACCAGCTCTCTCTGAGATTAGCCTGGGTCCCCTCTCCAGATTTCCCCTCCCTTTAGGGTGAGTCTTACCCCCCACCCCCCAGAGATCTTTTCCTGCTGATGGTTTTCAGTTGGGTTCCTAATAGTGCCCCAGCAATTTCAATAGGTTTGAACTTGACAATTGCAGATGGCAACATTGTCATATTTTCTGAGAAGCTGCCGGAGGACCCAATCTCCTCCTCCTAACACCCCTTCTGCTTTCCAAGGAGTATCAGCAGGAGCAGCCAATATGTTGGCCAGGAAAATGTACAGTTGCAGCTCTCCCCTGCAAGGCACTGGGGAGCTGTTTGTCATTCTATGTAAGGACCAGGTGAGGTTTTCTAGAACAATCCATCTATGAAATAAATTAGCTGCAACATTTAGATGACAGCTTATAAATTCCCTATAAATGTTTAAATTCTGTCTAACCAGGTATCTCTTTGTATTTATAAGAAGCAAAGAAGAGGCTTTGGAGCTTCATTGTCTTGGAGGACGGCCATTAGAATACAAAGACCTTTCTGACAAACCCTGGTGCTTCTGTCTGACTCAGTTGACCTTCTCACTGGGGCCAGCAGGGGCTCATTCCTCATACAATGGTGGTGGCAAGTAGGGAGTGAATACCCTTTAAGAAGGGAAAGAACATTTTTTTCAATGTACAGCTGCTTTGGGCTACAACACTGTCTGCAATTTCCTTCCTTCACTCCTTCCTTCCTCTGTCATCTCTCCTCTTCTCCATGATGCAGTCATGGTGAGGTTGGGATACTATGAGATGGCATTACAGTCAGAGGAGTCAGGAGCTTCATTCTGTCCTTAAGGTTCCCAAGGCCATCAGGAGGCTCATTCGGTCATATGTCTGTGGTTGCTGCTGCGTATTGGTTGGGGTGTTCACTTTCTCCTCACGTAGTCTCTCTGTGTGGGCTAGTTTGAGCTTCCTCTTAGCACACTGGTTGGCTTCTCCAGAGCAAGAGTCCCTAAAACAGTGTGACCCAGGTGGGAGGGTCATGCTTTCTATTACCTAGCCTCAGAAGGTGCATAGCATCACTTCTGATGAGCTCTCCTGGTTGGGGTGATCCCAAGCCTGACGAGTTTCATGGAGAAGGAGCAGGGATGCCACTTCTCAGCTGGAGGAACGTTGAAGTCACATTGCACAAGAGGCATGTAGCATGAGGGATATTGCTGCATCGTGTAGGAAAATACCATCTGCCACAGAGGCAAAGTAATCGTTAAAAAAAATAGTTGAAGTTTTGATGCCCAAACTTGATGTGGAATTCAGGTGAACTGGTTGCACCGTGTGAACAGCTTCTTTCTTCTACACTACGTAAGCCTAAATAGCTTTAGGCCCAAGGCCAGGAAGTTCACACTTTTTGCTTTCGCCTCTTACTGCTCAAACCCAATTCTTAAATCTTATTGTTGCAATGCAAGGAAAAGCCAACACAAGGGGGAATGGATCTAGGGAGGAAGAGAAAGAGCATTTTCTCTAAGGCCTAGGGCATAATTGTCCCTGGCTGTGCTCCCCCGACCCTTCTAGACCTAGGCAGTATCCCTGGGCCTGGCTACTTGTATTTGTTGGGGTTCTTCAGAGAACGAGAGTCAAGATTTACGATAAGGAATTGGCTTTTGTGATTATGGATGCTGACTAGTCCCAAGGTCTTCAGGGTGAATTGGCAAGCTGGAAACCTGGGAGAGCTGGAGAAGTGGCTCCAGTCCAAGTTCGAAGACCTGAGCACCAGGAGAGAAGCAGGAGAGCCAATGGCGCAGCTCCAGTCTGAAGACTGGAAAGCTCAAGGCCCAGGAGGAGCTGATGTTTAAGTTTGTGTACAAAGGTAGAGAAAGCTCCAGTTGGAAGGCTGTCTGGTAGGACGAATCCTCTCTTAATTGGAGGAGGGTCATCCTTTTGTTTTATTCAGGCCCACCTGGTTGGATGAGCCCCACCCATTATAGGGAGGGCAATCTACTTTACTCAGTGTGCAGATTTAAATGATAATGTCACAAACAAAAACACCCAGAATAGTGGTTGATCAAATATCTAGGCACATACCATGGCTTAGCACGTCTCAGTCAAATTGGCACATAAAATTAACTGTCACATTACAGTGTAGGAGACAGGGTTTAAAGAGCAGAAGCAAGCTAGCCACCATAAAAAAGGAGAAGCTTTTCCATCCACTGAAAATTCCTGCCCCCTACAAACATCAGTCCAATCAGTGAAGTCCAACTAACCAGACCATGCCTCTTTCGCCTTACAGAGTGAACATCCTTCTTCTTCACCCTGGATTCCAGTTCATCCTTGTGGGGAGAGAAGGATGAAGAAAGAGGAGCTTCAGGTCTTCTGGAAGCCAGACTCCATTCATTCATTGAGTACTGAGCCAGGTCACATGCCGGGCACAGGGACCATGAGATGAATCTTACCAGTCCTTGTCTTCAAGGAGTTCACAACCTATAGGGGAAGAGAGGTGAGGCTGGGAGCGAGGAGGAGATAGTAGCCTCCAGGCTCCTCCATCCAGACAGGTGATGTTACCCTACCATACTGCTCCAGAGACAGCAGTGGTTCCCCACAACATGCCCAGCTCCTTTGCACAGAGATTAAGTTTCTCACTTCGGCTCCTAGCCTCCTAACTGCTCATAGGTGTCCTTCCACTTGTCCTGTGTTCCCCTGCTCTGCTCTGTCCCCTAAGGCCTGAGATGCTGTTGTGTGCCCCCAGCCTAGCACATCCCTTCAGCTCTTCTCCCTACTGAATTTCTCTCATTCTTCCAGCTCTCCTTCCAGTGCGACTTCTGGCATGAGACCTCACGTTCATGGCAAAGCAATCACCCTCTTTGTGGTTCACTTCCACGTCCTATGGCGTGTAGCTTTCTTTAATATTGTCAGTGACATGCGTGTTGATGGACATGTGCAGAGAACAAAGCATGTGTCAGGCACTATGCCAAGCTCTTTACGGGCATCACTTCCATTCGATCCTTCCACAAGCCCTGGGAGCAGGTGTTTCCATGGTCTTTCCACAGATGGGAAATGGAAGCTCAGAAAGATTCACCATGATGTTCCCGGGGCACACAGCTAGTATGTGGCAGAGCCGGAATTAAAAATTTTTTTAATGGGTACATAATGATACATATTTATAGGGTCCATGTGATATTTTGATTCATGCATACTATTTTTAATGATCAAATCAGTGTATTTGGGCTATGCATTAACTTAAACATGTATTATTTCTTTGTGTTGGGAACATTCCAAATCCACTCCTCTAGCTATTTTGAAATATAAATAAGTGATTGTTAACGATAGTGACTCTAGGTAGTGTTGAACACTAGATCTTATGCTCCTATCTAGCTGTGTTTTTGTACCATTACCTGACCCCTCTTTATCCACCATCCCCACGCCTCTTCTGAGCTTCTGGTTACTATCGTTCTACTCTCTACCTCCATGGGATCAATTTTTTTTATCTGTCACATATGAGTGAGATTTGAATTCGAGCTAGGGCTGCTCTTAACCACTACGATCCGTGGCCCACCTGTTTGGCATAAGGCAGGGAGCATAAATGCAGGTTCCCTGGGCCAAGGCCTGAGAGGAAATAGGTGAGCTGGGGAGTCTATGGGGCTGTGTGCAGGTGGTTGTTTTTCAGAGGGTGGTAGGATGGTAGCTCTCTGGACTGCAGGGTCCCCAGAGAGGGCTGGGTCCTGCTGGGGCACAATGAACCAGAAGGCCACCCAGCTGAACAGTAAACAGGGCCTGCCCCAGCTGTGGAAAGAAATCAGGCCCTGCATTGGGGTGAAAATGGCTCCCGGGCACAACTCCGCCTCCCACCTCCTCAAACTCAGGCAGGAAGACTGTCAGCCTTGCTTGTCACGTCTGACTGAATGACAGCAATGACATATGTGTAGGAGGCACGAAAGCAGGGGATCCCTTAATATATCGGGTGCTTCTCAGCCCTGAGGCTTGATATCTACTTTTTCAGGGGACAGCGTCAGTGCATAAGAATTGATGAATCCCTGCAGGGCCAGGATTGGGGTGAGGCAAGTGAGGCACCCACAGAATTCAAAGGGGCACCGAAAAACTCAGTAATCAAGATAAGCAATATTGTAATGATATTTGAAAATCCCAATTAATACAAAATATTCATGATGAAGTAATATCAACATTTTAAATCAAGGCAGGATCAGTAGGACAGAAAGGCTTTTCCTGAATTCTGAGGCACAGCTATGTGGTCTAATGAATGGGTGAGCTGGCTTCCCAAAACTCTGAGCCTCCAGGGAACTATGACATTCTGCTGTGTTTGTCCTTGACCCCATGGAACCAAATTGTATTTTATTCATTTATTAATTCATTCAGTCACTCAGTCACTCACTCAATTCCTGAGCATCTGTTACGTATTTCTAAAGAGGATAAGCATATCATTTGAGAAGAATGACAAATTTGTATTTAATAATATCATTTGAAAAGAATGACCGGTTTGTATTTAATAGCTTTCCAGTTCTTTTTAAAGTTAAAATTTTAATTAATTAATTTTTATAAAACCCAGATCCTGTACAATCTTTCCAGTCCTTACTCTCTAGCACAGTAGCTAGACTTCCAGTATAATTTTAAATAGTACTGCCAATAGCAGACACTTTTGTCTTTTTCCTGATTTGATTGGGAAGCAGCCTAAATTTTTATTATTAACTATAATGTTTACTGGACATTTTGGGTATGTATGCTTTATCAGGTTGTGGAAATGACAGTCTACTTGTATTTTGCTAAGAGTTTTCTTGCTTCTTTTAAAAAAATCATGAATGTGGTAAATGTTATTGGGTGCTTTTGGCATATCTGTTGATATGATTCTATGTTTTTCCTTAATCTGTAAATATGTTGCATTATGTCAACATATTTCCTAATTTTGACCTACCTTTGCATTTCTGGAGTAAGCTCTATTGGATATGATTATATTTTCTATGCTGCTGGAGAGGATTTGCCACTCTTCTTAAGATTTCTGTATCTCTATTAATAAACTTAAAAGTATGATTTTACTGTTTTATACTGTCCTTGTCCAGTTTGGCAGCAAGATCATAATAGCCTTATAAAATGAGAAGGGTTATTCACCCTATACCTCCCAATTCTCTGAATAAGCTTTCGTAAAATAAGAATTACATGTCTTTTGAGGGTTTGGTAAAACTTGCTTCTGTAACTGTCTGGGCTTGATGTCTTTGGAAAGGGAGATCTTTGACTACCCATTAGATTTTCTTTCTTTCTTTCTTCCCTCCCTCCCTCCCTCTTTCTTTCTTTTCTTTTCTTTTCTTTCCTTTCCTTTCCTTTTCTTTTCTTTTCTTTTCTTTTTTTTCTTTTCTTTTCCTTTCTTTTTCTTTTTCTTTTTTTTCTGACAGGCTTGCTCTATTGTCCAGGGTGGAGTGCAATCTCAGCTCACTGCAACCTCTGCCTCCTGAGGTTCAAGCGATTCTCCCGCCTCAGCCTCCTGAGTAGCTGGGATTACAGGCATGCGCCACCATACCCAGCTAATTTTTGTATTTTTAGTAGAGATGGGATTTTGCCATGTTGGCAAGGCTGGTCTCGAACTCCCAACCTCAAGCGATCCACTCGCCTCAGCCTCCCAAAGTGCTGGAATTACAGGTGTGAGCCACCGTGCCTGGCCCCATCACATTTTCTTAATGTTATTGGCATATTCTTTTATTTATCTTTCAGTTAGTTTTTAGGATTTATTTTGTTATAGAAAATTATTCATATCTCATTGATTTGAAGTTCATATTTTTCTTGTATGGTTTCAAGTGTTTATTGTATCTTTTTTCCTTGTTTGAGGTTTGTCTATACTGTGAATCTTTTAAAGAGTCAGTTTTTGGCTAGTCTTCTCTAATTCTTTCTCCCTTTCATTAATTTCTGCTGTCATCTTTACTATTTCCTTTATTCTGCCCTGATTTTCTTTTCCTAGCTTCTTCAGTTGAACAAGGAACTCATTTATTTTTAATCTTTCTTCATTTTTAATAAATACACTGAAGGCTAAATTTTTCCTCTAGGCAGAGCTTTAATCATGTCCCACAGATTTTATATCAAGTATAGTCATTGTCAGTTAGTTCTAAATATTTCATAAGTTTTCATTGTGAATTTCTTTTTAACTTATGTTATTTGGGAGCACAGCTTTTCTTCTCCAAATGCATTTTAAACTACTTTCATCGTTAAATTGTAATAAAAACGAATTGGTTGGAGAACATAGTCAGTGTGACATGGATTCTTTCAAATTTGTTGGTACTGTCTTTGTGACCCAATGCATTGTCAATGTTTATAATGTGCTTTGCGTGCCTGAAAAGAATTAATATTCTATGCTTATTGGGAGCAAGATTCCAGATTTATCTATTATATCAAGACTTTTAATTATGTGGTTCAAGTAATCAATACCCTTACTGCTTGATATATTTGTTTCGGGGGTGATACACTAAACTCTTCCTCTGTGCTTGGGTATTTGTCAATGTTTCCTTGGAACTCTACCAGTTTTTGCTTTATATATTTAAGACAGGGTATTTAGACTCACAGGCGTTTATGATTGTTATGTCTCTGGTGGAGTGTGTTCCTTTTTATCATTATGTTTAATAATGTCTCTTTATTTCTCTTGCAGCTTTTTGCCTCCAATTCTGGCTCACATTAGCATTGTTTAAATATTTGCTAAGGATGGGTTTTTTTCTGTCCCTTTATTTCAAAGTTTCTCTGTCACATGTAAGTAACATATAGTTTAAAAGAAATTCAGTCCTATCAGTATTCTTTACCAGATTATTTTGATCTATTCACATTTTTTGGTTCTCATTAGTATATCATGACTACCATTTTATTTCGTGTTTTCTTCTATTTTTCTGCTTCATTTTTTAAGCTGCTATTAGATAGATAAAGTTTTATTTTTTCCATTTCTCCTGCTGACTCAGAAGCTATACATTATATTAGTCTTCTTTTAGCAAGGAGATTTATATTTTTAGCATTTCTATTTTGCTATTATGTTTTCTTATAAAGTCAAAGGTTGTTCATTCTTTATATTCTCCCGCAGATAAGACTTTAGTGTACTTTACCCACAGAACCTGTGAATCTTTCATGTACAATAAAAGCTTGAATCTTTCTCATTATTGTTGCCTAGACTTTTGTTCTAGACATTATTATTGTTTAGTAATTATATAGTAATAAAAGAGCACTACTTAGAAATTTATTAAATTTATTAACATTTTACCAGTTTGAGTTTACCTTTGTTTCCTGCATGACAGTTTTCCTCTGGTTTCACTTTTCTTTCTACTAAAGGAAAAAGTCTTTGCCAATTCTTTCAGTTAGTGTCTCTGGGTGGTAAACAGTTTTAGATCTGAAAATGTTTTATTTTCACTTTCAGTGTTGAATGATAGTTTAGTTGGGGATATTATTCTAGGTTTCCAGTTACTTTAATTAATCAATTACTATTTTTTTAAAAGACAGGGTCTGGTTCTTTCACCCAGGCTGGAGTGCAGTGGCACAAACATGGTTCCCTGCAGCCTCGACCTCTTGGGTTCCAGCAATTCTCCTGCCTCAGCCTCTGCGTAGCTGGGACTGCATGTGCATGCCACCACACCTACGTGTTTTTGTATTTTTGTTAGAGATGGGGTTTCACTGTGTTTCCCAGGCTGATCTTGAACTCCTGAGTTCAAGAAATCCTGCCTCGGCCTCCTAAAGTGCTGGGATTACAGGCATAAGCCACCGCGCCCCGCCAGCTTCCTGTTATTTTTGCTCAGCCCTTTGGATATAACTTCGTTGCCTTCTGTCCTGTTTTGTAGTGATGAGAAACTTACAGTCATTAGATAGTTTTATTTTGCAGATAATCTGTCTGCTTTTTCTTTATCTGATAGTTCTTTTTTAAATAACTGTTTCTTTACCCCAGATGTTCTATAGAACATCACTATGTTATATACTTAGGTGTAGTTTTAAGATATTTATTCCATTTAGTATACATCTTTAAGGATGCACATTTTTCTTCAATTCTGGAAAATCCTCAGCGCTTATCCCTTTGGAAATTCCTTCCTCATAGTCTCCTCTATTATCTTTTGGAGCTATTACTTCAACACATATTTGAGCCAAAGAGTTTTTTTAATAGCTCTTTCCTATTTTCTTTATTTCTCTAAGCTGTGTTTTAGTGATTAAATTAGCACCATTATCCAATGTAGTCATTCTCTCTTTGACTTTATTCTCTAGCACTGATTTCTTCTATTGAAAAGCATTGTAAACAAAATGTCTATTTTGTTATCAGCACTTACATCTGGTTCTTTTTCTAAATGTTCACCTGATCTTGTTATATTTTAGCTTGCTTTTGTTTCACAATTTCTTATTGTTATTATTCATTTTATTTCTTCCTTCATCTATTGTGGGTCCTAAATAATAAAAAATGTTTTCTGATTGCTTTATTATTCTACTTGCCCAGAGTGTGTTAACCTTCTGGGTGTGGTTTTGTTGGCTGTTTTTCTTAGCATCAGATTTCCTCATATTCTTCAGCACTTAGCTTTGCAGGAAATCATACATAATTATGTATGATTATTAGGGGATTCCACTAAATTCCCTCAACCCCAAATTCAACTTTCATGGTCATCTCCAACCCAGTCATGAGACTTTTGTCCAAAGACTGGTCTCACGTTGGTGGTTGGGGGTTCTGATTCTTTACGGAGACAGAGGAAGGTGCAGATCCCAGGACTTGGCTGGTTTGCCTATAGGTCCTGGCTGGAAGGCTGCACATCCCCATTCCTAGCTTCATCATCACTGAGCTACATATAAACCACAGCCCTGGGCCAGAGTCATTGCAGTTGGCTTCAAACACCTTCCCTGACCAGGGAAAGCCTATCCCAGGTCCAGGAAGTCTGGCTCAATATCCCTACATTTTTAGTTCCTTGTACACCACAAGATAGAGCTCCAGCCACCACTTCCTGCATCTTGGCCTCAGTCCAGCAGACCTGCAATTCGGTCAGCCTCTTTTTCTTTGTTCTTTTCTACCATTTCTACCACAGAAAGATATTTATCTTGCTTTTGAAGGTGGCTGTCTTCTTAGCTCTCATTTTTATATTTTATCTATGAGTGCTATGTGTTGGGATCAGAGGGACAGCTTGAAGCATGAACTTACGGTATAATCTTGGCTGGGAGCCTCCATTATTGTTTAAATCATTTTTAGTTAAAAATAATATTGTTACAGCTGGGGGCGGTGGCTCACGCTTCTAACTGCAGCACTTTGGTAGGCTGAGGCTGATGGATCACCTGAAGTCAAGAGTTCGAGATCAACCTGGCCAACATGGTGAAACCTCCTCTCTACTAAAAATAAAAAATTAGCCAGGTGTGGTGATGCATGCTTGTAATCTCAGCTACTTGGGAGGCTGAGGCAGGAGAATCACTTGAACCTGGGAGGCGGAGGTTGCAGTGAGCTGAGATCATGCCACTGCAGTCCAGCCTGGATGACAGAGTGAGACTCTAACTCAAAAAAAAAAAAAAAAAAATCTTACGAGCACACCAATAAGTATAAAGTCACAAATGATGGTAACTGTGATTATGAAAAAGCTCTAGAAGCTATTCACAGCTTCACAGGAAGACATGCATGAGATCAGGGACTCAGGGCAGGCCTCTCTGAGAGGTGACATTTAAGCTCATCCTTGAATGATGAGAAGCATAAGCCACACAGAACTTGGTTGTCAGAACAGACAGGTACATTTCTTTGAATCCTGATGTGTTTCCTACAAACCAGGCAAGCCTTTTGCTACATTACTTCAGGTAGGAGCTTTCTCCTGCCTCAGATTCAGCAATATCTACAAGATGCCCCACTGTCTTGGGTTAGAATTTCAGGTGAAATGTATCTGAGCACATGGGATTCCTTCTAACAGTTGTTGAATGAAGAACATTGGCTCTGGGTTGATGGACACAGGAAACCCCCCTCCGCAGCATCTCTCATGAGTCTCTGCTGAAATTTGGGTCTTGTTTGGTTGAAGGAGAAAACTGTGCTTTGAGTAGCTCTGGAATAAGGGTAAATCATCTTGGGCCTGGAGGCAGAGAGGTCTGGGCTGGATCTCAGCTCCACCATGGACTAATCTGATAGTCAGCTTGGGCAAATGGCCTTCCTGTTTGAATAAGCTTCCCAGCTTGTGAAATGGAGGTCACAATGCCTATCTCATGCAGAAGTTGTGCAGGTTCAGAGAGGTGATAGGTCCTCCACTTCTGTTATATCCAAGACATTTAAATACTATTCAAGTAATTATAATAGTATACTATGATGTGACACTATTCAAATAATTATTAACCCCATGTAAGTTCAATTTTTATGATGTGGCAAGATGCATTGCCCCCTCCATTATAATGAGTAGGGGTGTGTGTATGTGTGTGTGTGTGTGTGTGTGTGTGTGTGTGTGTGTGTGTGAGAGAGAGAGAGAGAGAGAGAGGGAGAGAGGGAGAGGGAGATTTGAAACAAACATGCCAGTCAGAGTGGTGCCATGCTCTCAGAGAAGGTGTCATTCACAGTGGAAACGGAGAGCCAAATGTTTCTTAGCACAACAACGTGCTGGAATTGTTTCTCTCAAAGGACAAGGTCAGCATGATCTTAACAGGAGGAATAACCTTTTCTCATGTGGGTAACATGATTACTTGCTCTGATGTGGTATGTTTGGGCCTTACATAAACTCTGAATGTGGAGTCACACTTTCTTCTCGCTCCTGGGACCAGAGTCTGCACCCTACTCTTTGGTTGGTTATTTTATCTTAAAGTAAATGTTTTAGTTTAGATAGTTTAGAGTTCCTGTGTACCCCACACCCAATTTCTCTTATACACACCTTCTACTTTGTGACTCAGCAAGGATGGAGCAGGGGACAGCCTGTGTTAGCACCCAGCCGGAGCATATTAACAAAACAGAGGGACCTAATGGAGTCACCAATAGAAGGAATAGAAGCTGGAAAGAAGCAAGGGTGGAGGAGAAGGGGATAGAGAAGATCCCAACTCCTGGTGCAGGGGGCAGCAACAGGTGCTGAATCTCCTGAATTTTTAGCAAAATTCCCTCCCTCAGCCCCTACCACAAGCAATTAAAAACACATTTGAAACAGAACAGAGGGACTTTGCAACACCTGGAGTAGATTTCTTATTGTTTCCAGAGCAGGTGGCATAGGAAGTACCTATTGCCAAATGAGAGATGCGACAGACAGATAAGGTCAAAGTGCATAAGAAAAAGAACCATTTTAAATGCTGACATCTCAGAGGAAGTGAATATGCATGTTAGATTTGTAACTCACTTTTCATGGTCCTGATTTGGGGTGTGGATCTGCCATAAGGGCCTGCCAGTCTTTAGGTGGGCAAGCTCTGCCATCTTGGGCTGTTTCTTCTTAGACTCTCAGGACAAATATGTAGATGTGATGTTATTACTTAAGATTACACATATTTTCCATATATTAGTGTATGGACATAACTTTAGGGTTCCTCTCCCAAACCACAGCAGACCCTGGAGAGAGAGTGGGGGGATCTCCAATATGGCTGAGGATGGGGGATTGGGCAGGTGGGTTGGTGGCTTTAGAGAGAAAACTTGTTGCCTGAGTGACGTGGGGCAGACGGCCCAATGGTGGATGGAGGAGCAAGGTGATTGATGGCTGCCATCTCTTGAATGATCCTGGCTCGAGCTCCTCCTGTTCCTCCCAGGATTGCTATGGAAACCCAGACTGAGTTGTTCTCTCTATGTCAGGCCTTTCCTGGGTGTTTTTCCTCCTGGCTTCAAAGCTTACAAATCATTCTTTCCTGTGTGCAGATCAGGTGATT